GAGAGAGAGAGAGAGAGAGAGAGAGAGAGAGAGAGAGAGAGAGAGAGAGAGAGAGAGAGAGATCAGTGTTTCTTGCAAACACTCATGCCTTGAGGTCAATTTCATTTCCTTCTGGATTTCATCCTATAAGTTAATGTGCTCTACGAATCCCGGTGATCGTCTGACGGAACCGGTCCATCATCCTTATCATCTTCTTCATCCTTCATCTTAATCATCATCATCATCATCATCATCATCATCGTCATCACCTTCGCCGTCCCCATCGTCATCCTTCATCTTCATCATCCTTCATCTTCATCATCATCATCATCATCATCATCATCGCCACCATCGCCGCCGTCGCCGCCATTGCCATCATCTTCAGGTTATTGATTCGTTGTCAAGATGCAGCACGATGATGTGATCTGGCAGGTAATTAACCATTCCCATTGCAGCTTCAAGACAAAGACAGAAACGCAGAATTTTTGTCGGAATCAGTACAACGTAACTGGTCTTTGTAATCGCAGCTCTTGTCCTCTTGCTAACAGTAGATATGCTACCATTAGGGAGCATGATGGGGTTCTGTACCTTTACACGAAGGTGATAGAGAGGGCTCACTCTCCCAAAACGTTGTGGGAGAGAGTGAAGCTGCCCAAGAACTACGCCAAAGCTCTGGAAGCCATAGACAAGCACTTGGAATATTGGCCCAAATTTTTAGTGCATAAAAATAAACAGAGGCTGACAAAGATCACCCAGTACCTGATCCGACTACGAAAGCTGTCATTGAAAGTGAAGCCGAAGTTAGTGACAATGCCGACAAGGACAGAGAGGAGAGAGAAGAGGAGGGAGGCGAAGGCGGAGGTAGCTGCGAAGCTGGACAAAGCCATCGAGAAGGAACTGCTGCAGAGACTGCAGAGTGGGACGTATGGAGATATCTATAACTTTCCTACAAAGGAATATGAGAAGGTGTTGGCTATGGAGGGCATGGAGGCGGCAGAAGAAGAAGAGGAAGAAGCCAAGGATGAGGAAGAAGAAGAAGAAGAAGATGAAGATGAACCTGTCCGGGAATACGTGGAAGATTACGAACTTGAGGAAGAGGACGAGATGGAAGACATGAGGAGTTTTGGCGATGGCGGAGAGGAGGAAGACGACGAAGAAGAAGAAGATGACGACGACGACGACGAGGACGACGACGAAGGAAGGGAGGAGGAGAAAGATGATGATGATGATGAAGAAGAAGATGAAGCCGTGAGAATGGAGAAGAAGCTGCGCGAGAAGTACAAGACGAAGAGACCTTTGGATCTCACGGCGATGGCGAAAGAGAAGCGCGCCGAAGGTTCTCGAAAAACTGCGGGCAACGTCAAGCGGCCACGTCGGCGTGTGCACGTGGAAGTGGAATACGAAGAAGAGAGGGAGATGGAGAGCGCACGGAATTGAACTCTCGCCGTGATTGTTTTTTTGGCAGTCGAAGATTTTTTTTTTTTTTTGACTAGCCCCTCTCCTTCTCCTTATTCTTCTTGGCTCTTTCTTTTTTTTTTCTTTTAGTTTTGTGGTCCTGTGAGTTCTTGTTGTAATGAAGAGAGAGAGAGAGAGAGAGAGAGAGAGAGAGAGAGAGAGAGAGAGAGAGAGAGAGAGAGAGAGTAGGCGGGAAAATCGACTGTTAAGTTGTTTCAAAATGCTTTTCGTATTTTTGACCTTCTGTTCGGAATCTATTTAGCGTCTTTTTTTTTGGGGGGGGGGGGGGGGGGGTAAATGAAGAGGAGAAATGTGCGTTTTTTTTTTGGGGTTTAAATGAAGAGAAATTTGCGGATTTTTTTGGGGGTTTAAATGAAGAGGAGAAATTTGCGGATTTTTTTGGGGGTTTACATGAAGAGGAGAAATGTGCGATTTTTTTTGGGGGGTTTAAATGAAGGGGAGACGTGCGTGTCATCCTTGGACGTGTACATTGTCGGAATGACATCTCGTGTGAAAAAAAGTGGGGCGGGGGGGGAGGGGGAGGGACGTGGAAAGGCTTGGTAAACAAAAGAATAAAAAATAAAAAGAGGAGAGCTGTAAGGGTTCCAGACGAGGAAAAAAAAGAAAGAGGAGCGGAGAAGGGCGTTAAAACAGAAAAAAAAAAGACAAAAAAAAAGAACGTAAGGTTTCCAAACAAAAGAAGAGATGGGAAGGCTCGGAAAATAGGGGGGGAGAGGCGAAAACAGATAAAAAAGGAAGGGGAGAGAGGGTGAAGGCTTCAGAAAAAGAAAAAGGCAGAGGGGCAAGGCTTCCCCAAAAAAAAGAAGGAAAAAAAAAACGAAAAAATAGAGGGGAAGGCTAATACGAGAGGGGACGGTTTATCAAAAAGAGAGAGAGAGAGAGAGAGAGAGAGAGAGAGAGAGAGAGAGAGAGAGAGAGAGAGAGAGAGAGAGAG